TTATAGACGGCAACCTGTCACTAATATGCCAGGAGCATTGGCGTAATTGGCCTGTGCCCTCGATTCTCCTCGGTCTCTTTCAAAACACTTATCCTCTAAGGGCCTCTTAGGCCTCACTCTTCACTGAGCTGAAATTGCTCCTTAGGACTCACTGGCCAGGAAGGAGGGGAGCATTTCCTTCACTTCCCCCTGGAACTAGCTCACAGAGCTTCCTCCCCACCCTTCCCCCCAAGCCCTGGTCACAGTGCCCCCTGGTGGAAGCATGAGGCAACAGCCTGAGAAAACCCAGCCTAATACTCCTGCTCCCAAAGGCCCAGGGAAGCCGGGTTAAATAGGGAAAGAGCGGGAGCCAGAACCTAGGGGCTGGTGGGGTTAGGTGGGACAGACAGAATATAGCAGAACTCCCTATAACCAGATATTGTGAATCTTCAAGACCAGCTAGGAACGCCCGATTAAGACAAACGTATAGGGCTGGAAACATGGCTCAGCGGTTGGTTGAGAGAGCATTTCCAGAGGACACAGGTCCAATTCCCAGCACCCACATCAAGCGCCTTGTAACCAACTGCCTGTAACTCCAGCTCCAGGGAGATGCATGGCCTCTGTAGGCACCTGCATTCACGTGCAAATATCCACATGGCATAATTTCTACTCAGGGCCTACACGCTGGAGGTGGAGGCAGGAGGATTAACATGAGTTTTCCAGAACTATGTAGGAGACCCCATCTCAAAGAAAAGTTAATAAAATAAAACAATTTCTGTTAGGCTTTTTTCCCCCCTGCTATTTGGAGCAAAAATCAATTTTCCTAAAGGTTATATATTCACTAACTTCCAGTATGCCAATATTTGAACATTCTAGAAATTATATCCCCCCCAAGCATCATGAAAAATCTGCGCAGTGGGCTCTGCCAGGCCCTCCGACCGTTCCCCCCACTTCCCTGGTCACAACAAAACAGTTTTTCCCCAGAAGTCACTTCGGATCTTTCCAGAAAGCTGTCTTACTTTCATGGTTTGTGTTTCCCTGTTTTCTATTTTTGAAATAAAAATTATTTTGAAATAAAAAAATAAATATTTTTAAATATTTCTGGAAACAGTCCTAGCTACCTTAAGTCAGTATTTATTTTTTACTTAGTCTTCAAAACCCCATTTACAGGCTCCCTCCCTGGGGTCTTCTCAGCCCTAATCCCCAATCTCTAGAAAAACAGCCATTATATCACGCTTATTCTAGTTATTTATTTACACGTCTTTGTTTGAAGATTTATTTATTTGGTGTGCCTGTTCTGCTCCCCAGACCCAGTGAATGCCAGGTGTAAGGCAGGTGGGACCATTTCGAGAAATACTTAAAAATAACTTTTATTTCTGAATATTTGAACTAATAATGTTTTGATTCAGAGTTCAGATCGTGTTGGTATGTGGAGGTGAAGTTCCCCTCCCGTCCAGATCTCCGGCTTTGCTCTCTCTCCTAGCAACTAATAACGTTACTCTTGCTTCCATATCCGCTGGATAAAGTCCACATTCCGCTGCGTGGTGTGGCTCTGACCGTCCCTTGTTTATCCCGGGTCCTTTCCTTTCTCCTGCCTTTCCTCCTCTCTCCAGCAGAGGGACTCAGTTCCCCTTCTGAACCATGAAGAAGGCCTTTGAGTCTCTATCCTGCTGGCGCCCTCTTCCCCAGGGCCAGCAGCTTGTTGCTTGTGTGGACTTGCAGTCGTTGGCCACTGGAGATGGGCGACACGCAGCGGATACTGAGAAGGCAGAACCAGAGTAAGGAGGACCATTTTCAGCTAGTTTCTTCCATGGCCGTATGTGTAGTTCAATGTGGGCTATGCCAGTTCCCTTTGGTGAAATGGATATGATCCTTCCTGATGCAGAAAGGGGGTGCCTCTATGTCAGCAGACCCATCTGAGACACGAATGCCAACCTTGCGACATCCTCTGACACAAACAGCGTGGTGAATGGATAGTAACCTTTTTACAAATAGCTTGGTCAGCGTTTGATGGCGTCCTCTGAAGAAGGCTTCGAATGGGCCGAGCAGAAGACCTGCTGAAAGGGGAAATTCTTTACAACATCGAGAGAACTACCGAGTCAATGGTGCAAAGAAACATGATACACACTAAGGCAGGTCAAGACGACAGGCCAACTGTCCCTTAGGGAGCTATGTATTTAGATGCCCCAGGAGCCCATCCCCTCCCCCCACTCAGTTGTTCACTGACCTTCACCGGTAAGCCTGTCTGCTTTTATCTCTGGCTTCCCAACTTCAACCCTACTATAAGCCCACACACCCTTTCTCGGAGGACCTCCTTTCCCTGCATACCTGGCCTCTAAATTCAGCCTTTCTCTTTTTAACTTTTCCGTCTCCTCCTGATTGCTGCTGACATCCACTCTGTTTTTGTTTTGTTTTTTCTTACGGTTATTCTTTCTTTCTTTTTTTGTTTTTTGCTTGTTTGTTTGTTTTTTGAGACAGGGCTTCTCTGTGTAGCCCTGGCTGTCCTGGCCTCACTCTGTAGACCAGGCTGGCCTGGAACTCACAGAGATCCACCTGCCTCTGCCTCTCAAGTTCTGGTATTAAACATGTGCAGCACCATGCCCGGCTACACTGTATTTATGTTTCTTTTCTTTCTGCCAAATTCTAGTGAAATTGTCTTTGATTTCCCTTCTGCTTTAAAATTCTCTTATCAATGACATGAAATTGGCAGACAAAACCCTGTGTTGCCTTCCCTTCTGGTTCTCTGAGGTTAGTCCAAATTGATGATTTGACACAATCTAAAATCACCAGAGGAAGACAGTTATCCAGAATGGTTGTCCAGGTTAGGCTTAAGCCAATGGGCTTGTCTGTGGAGGATTGGGTTCATCAAGTGATGTGAAAAGACTCAGCCCACTGTGGGTGGCATCATCCCCTAGGTTTGGGTCCTGGACTGCGTAAGAGTGGAGAAAATAAGTGTCTTGTACTAAGCATGAGTGCATTCCTTTCCCTCGTGGTCTTTCTTGACTGTGGTTGTGATGTGAACAGCTGTTTTAAGTTCGTGCCTTAGCTTCTCTGAAATGGTGAAGTGTGTGCTGAATAGTTGTATGTCAAATTGACACAGATTAAGTCATCAGAGAGAAGAGACCCTCAATCAAGAAAAAGCTTCCATAAGGAGCGGCTGTGAGGCACAAGGCAGGCTTGTAGGGTATTTCTTAATTAGTGATTGATGGGGAGGGCCCAATCAACTGTGGGTGAGGACATCCTGGGCTGGTGGTCCTGGGTTCTATAAGAAAGCCGGCTGAGAGAACCAGGCGGAGCAAGCCAGTAAGCAGCACTCCTCAGTGGCCTCTGCGTCAACTCCTGTCTCCCGGTTCCTGCCCTGTTTGAGTTCCTGTCCTGATTCCGTCAATAATGAACAGCAATATAGAAGTGTAAGCCAAATGAACCCTTTCCTCCCCAACTTGCTTTGAGTCATGGTGTTTCATCGCAGTGAGCGTCGCCCTGACTCTGACAGACTGTAACTGGAATTGTGATCTAACACAAACCTTTTCTGCACTAGGTTACCTTTGTTAGGGGTGTTTTATCACAGTCACAGAAACGAACGGAGGACACCATCATTGCCACAGCCTGCGGCACGCTGTCCTTCCACACACACAGCTGGAAGGAAGGGCTGCTTCCCCAGCTGAGTGCTCATTACCACCTCCCAGCTGTCCTCACCACAAACTCCAGTCTCACAGAGCAGCAACATGCTCTCCTCCTCAAAAAGGAGGCATGCAGAAGGAGGACTCACACAAGGGACCATAGAGCTGCCCGGCGCCTGGGGCACGTAGCTGATTTTCTCTGAGAATGGACAGGGCACGGGAGCTGTGTTAGCTAAGGTTAGTGTCTTTAGGGCCAACGCACTGTAGACATTGCATGGTTAGACTTTCCCCTCTAACAGGATCAAAGGCAGACTCTGGACTTCTCCACCCCTCTTCTGGGTGGCTCTCCCAGCTTCCTTCCCCACAAAGCAACTGGTGGCTTTTCAAACTGGAGCTCCTTCCTTGTCCCATGTCAAACTGTTAAACTGTAAAACTCAAGGTATGATCTTTGTAACCACGATCATCGTTTTAGGTCAGATTCTTAATGACACCATTAAACATAGAGGTGATTGTGAAGTGAAAAAAATCACTATGAATTAAAAGTCCTCAACAATTTGGTTACTTAAATGTTTTGCTGCACTGTGGTGGTAGTATCGGTGAACATGGCTGCTTTCTTAAAAATTAATATTGTGGAGGGCTGGAGAGATGGTCCAGTGGGTAAAAGCACTGGCTGCCTTTCCAGAGCAACCAGGTTCAAGTCCCAGCACCTGTATGGCAGCTCACAGCTGTCTGTAACTTCAGCTCCAGGTGATCCAACACCCTTATACAAGCAGGCAAAACACCAATGCACATAAAAATAAATAATTAAAAAATTAGCTTTGTATTTACTAAAGTTTCAAATTCAAAAAACTAGAGCCTGTGAGGTAGACTGTACCATCATTGCTACAGACTGATGCTCTGGAACACAGGGAGCTTGCCTGAAGCCAAGTGCTCAGTGAGCAAACACTCCCTCGCTCTCTTCTTTCTGGCTTTCTTTCTTAACTGGCTAGTGTGCCCGTAACGCCAGGTCACGCTGGCTAGAAGCCTCTCCAGTCATCTTGTCTCAACCAGCAGAAGTTTAAGCCGAGCGTTCAAGACGGTTGCGCGATCTTCCAGCGACTTGCCCCAAAGTTGTTCCCAGGAAGCTTCCATTCCTCCACCCAGCTTCGTTTCAGTGCAACTTCCCGCGCAACTGAGTGCGCTCCTTTTAGAAGCAAAAGAGGGAAAGGGTGCAGCGGGCTGAAGGGTTGCGTTAATGCGGGACAAAGGCAAAGTAAACAGAAAAGTGACCACCCCAAGGCAGCCACCCGCGAGGGGCGTGGGCCTAGCTCCGCCACTTCCAGGGCAGAAGTTTGACAAGCTGTGCGGCTGCGCATGCGCCAGCTCTGGCTCCTCCCACGTGTCCCTAAGCCCCGCCTCGCCATAGCCGCCAGGGAGCCCAGGCCTGCACAAGGTGGTTTAACATGGGTGCCTCCAGCTCCTCGGCGCTGGCTCGCCTCGGCCTCCCCGGGAAGCCGCGGTCCACCTGGCTCGGTGTCGCCGCGCTGGGACTGGCCGCGGTGGCCCTGGGGACCGTGGCCTGGCGTCGCGTGCGTCCCCGGCGGCGCCGGCGGCTGCAGCAGGTGGGCACGGTGTCGAAGGTTTGGATCTACCCGATCAAGTCCTGCAAGGGGGTGTCGGTGTGCGAGACCGAGTGCACCGACATGGGGCTGCGCTGCGGTAAAGTGCGCGACAGGTACCGGGTGCAGACGGGCAAGGGCGAGGGAGGTGGGGCCTTGCCTATCCCGGCTTGGAAGTGTAAGAACCAGGGACCTCTCCGTGAGTGCAAACTTTGTGAGCTGGGGCCTGGTGAAAGTCGAGAGAGGAGTTCTGCCCTGCAAACTGTGTTCTCCCCAAACCAAGAGAGTCAAGTGTTCGTTGCGTCTGGGAAACACGCACACACATACCGGGAAGAGCTGTCACCCCTTGTAACACTGGGCGCATTTGTGAGCAGGTTCAAGTTGAAATCGTAGTTTGCAAGTTCAAAAATGGCAGTGGGGAGGCCTTCCGGGAGGGGAATTTTAGCAGGTTTGCAGGTTTCCTCGAGTGCAGCAGAGGGCGATTTTGGCTCCCACCCCTCTCAGCATAGGTGACTGCTCAGCTAACGGAGAACCGAGGCTTGGAACCTGAATTCCGGGGGCTGTCGACCTTTCATCTTTTAGCTGCGAAGCCCATGTTTCTGGCTAAAGTAGTTTTTGAAAAAGTGGATTGGGGTAGTCCTGGACCCCTGGACGAGGAATCCCTGTCAAGGGTCTCCTAACTGTAGGATGCTAGGAATACAAAGAGCCTTTGGCTGAATGTTTTCAGGAACATTGGGTCCTCCTTTTCCTCTAGTTCTGGTGACCACTTAATGAGTAAGGAGCAGATTACATGGTTTGCCGGGAGTGGGTCGAAGGCTAGTCACAAACTGGGGTGTAAAATAAAAATAGAATGAAGAAAAAAAAGCAGACAGTGTTGTTCCTGTACAGAACAAATTTATAGATCAGGAAGCAGGCTCAGCCAGACTGGGTGAGAACTCTGCTGAAGGAGAGCAAGCCTGGGCCTGCATCAAGTCCAGCCGTTACAGAGGCTGAGGAATGCCCAGGTCAAGAGGTAAAGCCGAGTGCTTGGGTGTTTCTCAAACCTTGAAAGGTGTTGTTAGCATTAGGAGAGTTGTTCCCTGAGGAGGATTCTGCGTCCAATGTACCCTGCCTCTGCAGCTTCCCACAGCCAGTCTGATTTTTATGTTATCACGGGGAGTGCCTGTACCCTTCTCTTACAGGTGGGTGGGCCTCTCCAGGCCGAGCACACAGATTTCATTCTTATGATTAGAATGTCGTCTTCTGTGGCAAACGTGGTACTTGTGCCTGGACAGAGGAGGGAGTTTGCAATTGGTCGTTTGAGGAACCTCGTAGCAGAGGCCGTCTGCTGCCCAGTAGTCATCCCAGGATGTGTGTGAGAAATGTGGGCTCCCACTGCATTGGAAAACATCATCTAAAGTGTGTCTTACGTGTGGGCTCTGCAGCTGATGGGATTTTCCATTCCTCGACTCAGCCTAGATTTCTAATGCTGCAAGGTTTTGTTTGTTTTAAGTTTCCAGATCCTGAGGGACTGGGGGTGTAGTTCAGTTGATAGGAGAGTGCTGGTCTACTGAGCATGGAGCTGGATTTTACCCTCTAGCTCTTACGCGAGGCATGGTGGCCAGGCCAGTAATCTCCACACAGGATCAGAAGTTCAAGGTCATTCCCTGGTCGGCTGTGTCAGGAGTTCCAGGCCACCCTGGGCTACATGAAAATTTACCTATATGCTGAAATAAAAAAATACTATTATTCCTTGAGAGTCCCATCCCTGTCCAAATGAATGCAAATCGCCAAATATGAAGGATGTTGAAGTCCTCCCCAGGGGACTGTTCTGCTGGAACCAAAGGGCTTTATATGAGACCATTGTGAGGAAGACGTTTAGAGCTTATTAAAGTATGAAGGATAAGAACTTGTGCCTGAGGCTGGAAAGACTGTTGGTACCTGGTGCTGGGTATTGTCCAAAACACAGGAGGGGCTGAAGCTGACCGGAAGAGGAGGACACTTGCTGCTTTCCTTCCCATCTAAGAACTTGAGGGTATCTCACAGGTAACCACCTGTGTTGACTCAGATCATCAGAGAATGTTGTGTTCATCATTAAGATGATCATGGCTTGGCTGTAGATACTGCTAGTGTAGAGAAAAAAAAATGTGTCCTTTGCCCCTGCTTTTCTGCTTCCTGAGGAATCAATAAAACAAATAGAACCTGTATCATTTCTCTTGTTTCGAGCAATAAAGTCTTTGTTTTTTCCTCCCTCCCTCCTTTCCTTCCTTTCTTCCTTCCCTCCCTCCCTCCCTCCCTCCTTCCCTTCCTTCCTCCCTCCCTCCCTCCTTCCCTCCCTCCCTCCCTCCTTCCTTCCTTCCTTCCTTCCTTCCTTCCTTCCTTCCTTCCTTCCTTCCTTCCTTAAATAGAGGATCTCACAATGTAGTTCTGGCTGGCCGGAACTTACTATGTAGACAAGGTTGGCCTTGAACTCACAGGGATCCACCTGTCTGCTTCCCAAGTGCTGAGATTACACAGGCTTTCACCAACGTGCTCTGCGTGAGCGATGCACACTTAAGATCATGTGGCCCGGGGTGGAGGGAAAGGCAGCGAAATGAATGTGTGGGAGATACCGGGCTAAATCCTGTCCTGTAAGTTAGCCCATCTGAGGTTGGTTTTGTGGGCTGGATATGAATGTCGCCATCCCATGGACCTCAGAGAAGGCAGTATTGACAGGATGAGGATGTCACCTGGGGCCAAACCCAGCCTGTTCTAGGGGTTTGAATCCAGATCTAGGTGACTCCAGTCCTCACTCTTTCTGTGAAACAGGAATGTAAGAACTTGCACAGGAACAGAAGACCTTGAACAGAACCTCTTTCAGCCTCTGTTTGTTTTTCAAGACAGATATCAAGCTCTGTGTGTCCTGTACTCACTCTGTAGACCAGACTGGCCTGGAACTCACAGAGATCCTCCTGCCTCTGCCTCCTGAGTGCTGGGATTAAAGGCGTGTGCCACCACACCGGGCTTCTGACTCCTGGCCTCAGTTTTGTTGCTTTATTTATCAAAGGTAATTAATATTCAGAAGCAGGCTTGCCACCAGCCAGGACTGTTTAATGGCTGTTGTTTTTTGTCCGAGAGTCAGTACACAACTATTGGTATTTTTGGAGGGCAGGCAAAGAGCTCCTTTGCTTAATCTCTGTGTGGATTTCTCTCTGCATGGCCCTTTCCTCCAATTGCTGGAGGTGTTGTGCTAGCGTTTTCAGAGCTGTTTGTGTTTGACCTTGGCCCTGCTCCCTGAGCTGTGAAGTGTCTGAGGTCCTCCTAGAAGACAGTAATATAGGCTGCCCGCTGTGGGAGTGGCTTCCTTCCTTGACCTCTCATAACTGTCCTTAAGCTGTCAACCCTGACTTGATCACCAGCTCTGTCCACACCCTGCTCCGAAGCCAGCTATTTCTACTGCACGAATTTCTCATCAGTCGATAAAGGGAGCCCCTCATGATTATTCCCCTTTCCCACTTTTCCCTTCCCTGCTCCTCTTTCAGGGTTAGTCCTGCCTGCTTCCACCCTCCCCCACCTCAACCCTGCTGGCTAGTTTTTAACTTGAATGAGACTTGTCATTTGCCCTGGGCACCGCCTCACTGTTACATTGGCCAGTCCAGGGCCCTGTTGTTTGCTGTGGGGATTCTGAGCTCTGGGTTCTGACCCTGGTCCACTTGCCACCTGCTTGTGCTTTGCTGTAAACTCAGGGTGCTGACTCTTATTGCAGGTCAAGTTGAAGTAATTATGAAAACCCATTCTCTAGGTGCGTCCTCTAAGCAGAACAGAGCAGGTCATTTGTTCATAGGGAATTATTTACATGCACAAGATAAACCTATATTCTGAGGGTTGATAGAGTAATGAGGTGGATGAGGTTTGTTATGCATGGCAGCTGTCTTAGTTAATTGTTTTTATTGTTGAGACAAGTACCTAACAAGAAGCAAATTAAGGAAAGAAGAGAGAGCTGGTCACATGAGGTCTATAATTCAGGAGGCATAGGGAGATGAAGGCTGGTACTTAGCTAACACCATCCTTGGTATCTGGTAGAGAACCCCCAGCCCGTGGGATGACACTACCCATATTTAGGGTGAGTCTTTGCACCTCAGTTAGCCCAGAGACCAGTCAAGATCCTGTTGGGCCTTAGATGTTACAGCAGCCTGTAAACCTTTTATCAGTTTTTGTGCAGCCCCAAGGTTGAATTCTCTTGCTGTTGCCTTTTGCCTTCTCACTTGCAATCATGATCAGGAAGCTGCTAAGTGTTCCCTCCCATTTGTGACCTCAGCAGTTAGTTCCTTACATGTCATTACATGGTGGCCTAGGCTAAAGTGTGTGTGTGGGGGGGTTGTCGGCCGTAGAGGGGCTATTTTGGGTGGGTGGAAGCTGAGTGTGTTAGGTTTCAAATCCGGGAACATAGGCTGAGGTGCCTATTTAACACATCAAGGCAGATTTGGCCCCCAGGTTCTGCCTGTCCCTCAGTCCCTACTGTTACAGGGTCCTTCTGCTTCTGTCTCCACCAAAGTTCTTTTGCCCACGAGCTGGACTGCCCTTCCCCCCAGCTGCCCTTCCCTATAGAGCCAACCATTTTGGTTCTGTTCTCTTTGGGCCTCCTGGGCCCTGCCCCTGGCTCCCTTCTTTGCCCTCTCCCTTCTCTTGTCCACCTTTCCACATGACCCAGCTCAGTCAGGGTCATGTCCACTCTGGACACTCTCCCAGATGTTCCTGCCCCTGGTTATGTTTCCTTGTCCTCCACCATGTGTAGGAGCAGTCATGTCCTTTCTTTTTTATTTCGTTTTCTCATTCATGAAGATTCAGCCCAGAGAAGGACTTGATAACCAGAGGGATGTGGTGTCTGGCTGGGTACATACCAAGTCTTGTCTGGGGATGGGGCATGCTGGGAGTTAAAAGCTTAGGCTTAGGTGACGCTTTAGCCGGAGCAGGATGTCTTAGTCTATTTTCTTTGACTGTAAAAGTACATTTGAGATTCAGTTACAAATGAGAGTAGGAACAGGCACTGGCATTCGACAAGGGCTTCTTGCTGCATCTTACAGTGCTAAATAGCAGCACATGAGTGCTAGAGAGCTCCTTTTGGGGACAACAACTTTTGGACCAAAAGGATCTGGCCAGACCTGTGTGCCAGGATGGGCATATGGTTCTGAGGTAAGGGAGAGCTAAAGGAAGGGTTTGGGCGAGGAAGATGATTTGAGGGTGCACTCTCTCTGCAGGTTTTGGATGGTGGTTAAGGAAGACGGACACATGGTCACTGCCCGCCAGGAGCCGCGCCTTGTGCTGGTCTCCATCACCTTGGAGAACAATTACCTGACCCTCGAAGCTCCAGAAATGGACCCGGTGGTTTTGCCTATCAAGCTGCCTTCTTCGAATAAGATCTACGACTGCAGGTGCTCTGCTGGGGGCGGTGGGGAAACCCCAACAGACCTGATTTTTCCTTGCATTTGTTACAGTTTATGTCAGAACTGTGAATGATGAAATCAGGAAAATACTGACTAGGGGTTAGTCTGTAGGATGGGACTCAAGTGTGAGTGCCTGTCACGGGTTCCCAGGACTAGCTTTTATTTTTACTTTATTTTACTTTTGAGATGGGGTCTGACATCCCAGACTGACCTCCAATTTGTTATGGAACTAAGGATGACGTTGAACTTTTGATCATTATGCCTTCCCCCCCCCCCCCCCCGAGTGCCAGGATTACAGGCCTCTACGGCCATGCTCAGTGTGTGGTGACTCAGGGTGCAAGTCTCTCCAACTGAGCAACAGCTTCAGGATTAGTTTTAATCAGGGATGCTTAGAAGTAGGTAGAGCTCCCACACAGGGAAGCCTCAGGGCTGGCAGAGACCATGTGAGGAAGGAGAGACCAATACCCAAAGCCTTCACTTGGGTTTCTGCAGTGAAGAGAAAAGGTGAGTTCAGGTTGGCTAGTTAGACTTACTTCAGCAGGCCCCAGGACGGAGCAGCTCTGTGGCATTATAGCCCTGGCACCTGCTCCCTGTTGGTAAGGACTCAATAAAGGAAAGTTTGCAAGGTGGGAATGTGGTGCATGCCTGTAAACCCAGTGCTTGGGAGGGCAGAGGCAGGTGATCTCTGTGAGTTCAAGGCTAGGATGGTCTACAAAGCAAGTCCAGGACAGCCAAGGCTACACAGAGAAACCCTGTCTTAAAAAAACAAAAACAAAAACCCAACAACGACTAAGTAGAGTTTGCAAGTCATGCCTGCGTCTGGTAAAGACTATTATTGTCTCTAGGGAGGAGCTGGCTGCAGGAGGGGCCATCCCTTCACCAAGGCCCCAGGATAGCGAAGCAGAAAGCATAGTTAGCAGACACAAGTGCCTACATTTAGGGCATGTGACCTTCCGTTCAAACTGGAAAGGCCTTTAAATGATATTTATACATATATACATATATATATTTAGTTATGTGTAGTGGGGGTGAGGGGCACGCATGCAACAGCGTGGGTGTGGAGGTCAGAGGACAACATGCAAGAGTCAGTTCTGTCCTTCTGTGGGTTCTGGGGATTGTGCGCAGCTCTTCAGGTTGACAGCAGCTGCCCTTTCCCACTGGCCTTGGAGACAGTGCTGGGAGTTCAGGACAGTGGAAGTTACCGGTGGCCCGACCAGTTGATCGCAGAACTGGACAACGAGCACCCTGGAACTCTCCAGCCCCCGAAGGCTGTGGCCGAGGTTGAGGACTCAGGGCAGTGCTGTGTGTTTGGGCAGGGGTGAGGTCTCAGGCTTTGGCATCCGTTTGTGTGTAGGTAGGTCCTCTTTCCATGACCCATGGCCTGCTGGGTCTTGCCTGAATTTCTTTCTTATATGTGTGTATTTTTCCCTTCCATTTTGCTGCTGAGGATTAAGACTGAGCTCTCTAGCTCTTTGATGTTGGCGAGTCACAGCAACTTTTAGGTGTTTGCTGTGGGATGATGCAATGTCATGGTAACCAGGTGAGGTTTTTGCTTTGAAGTGCTGGAATTAGAACCAGGGCTTTGCGTAGACTGAGTACTCTACCCTTGAGCTCTGCACTCGGCCCTCAACCAAGTTTTTGTTTTTGTTTTTTCCCCCAGTGTCAGAGTCTCACTGTGTATCTCTGACTGGCTTGGAACTCTGTAGACCACGCCGGTCTCAAACTCAGAGATCTGCCTGCCTCCACCTCCTGAGTGCTAGGATTAAAGGCGTGCAATACCATGACTCAACCTAGCGTTTCAACCATGTCAGAACAGGTACTATCCAAAGGTGACTGGGCTCCTTCATGGAAGAGTCTCATCTTACATTTGTTCAGCATGTCTGAGCTGAAATCTATCATTCTAAAGCAATACCTTGCTGAATATTGGCTAGTTGTCTTATAAGCCCATAAGTAAACATCTGTGGTTTCAATTTACATAGGAGGAAGCCAGACTGTGATGCCCCACTCCACCCCACAGAGAGGTGAGGGTAATGAGTGGGAAAGGGAGGGAACGAGAAGCAGGGAGTATGCTGGGAAGCTGGATTTGAGCCCATTCACCTTCTAGGCTTCTCTCATTGCCTGTGTGCAGGGAGGAGAAACAGTTTCCACAAATGACAGATTTTCAAGAGAAACATTGACCGCAGACAGTCCAATCCAAGTTTTATTTTTTTAAATAATTTATTTATTTTTATTTTATGCACATTGGTGTTTTGCCTGCATGTATGTTTCTGTGAGGGTGTCAGATCCCCTGGAACAGGAGTTACAGACAGTTGTCAGCCTCTGTGTGGATGCTGGGAATTGAACTTGGTTCCATTGGAAGAGCAGCCAGTGCTCTTAACTGCTGAACCATTTTTCCAGCCCCCAAGTTTTATTTCTTTATAACTGAAAAGGGAAAGCAAAGCCAGGTCACATGAGACATCGCTGGCTATGAACTTCGGCTAGCTTTCAATGTTGGGGTGTTTTCTCACCCAACAATCAGTTCTCCAGCACACACCAGCTGGGGTCCCCAAGTCTAACGTCATCTACTTGGAGATAGCCTCAGAGCCCATAGGGTAAGGACTGGTCTCTTGAGACTCTCACTTCAGATGCTAGTGCAGGCCATAGCCTGAAACTCTGACCCGCTAACTGTGACTTGACGTGCCCACAGCCTCCTTCTTGAGTTTAATTCCTTAGAGAGCCTCACAGAATTCCGGAAACACCTCTGCCAGTTCTTACAAAGGGTACCCCAAGGCTAAAGAGGTGGGTGAGCAAAGTGTGGGGAGTGGAACTCCTGTGTAGCTTCTGATATGGTACCCTTTAGATACTGTGTTCTGTGATAGCCATACTTTGGGTCTTAAATGAGTGAGTTTACTAAGTATATGTCAAGCCACAGTAAAAAGAATAAATAGCAAGAGATAAACAGGCAGATAATAGCAAAACATCATCAAATCGTGTGCCCAATACATCCAGCACAAATCAACTGGGGAAGCCCATTTAAGACAGCCAGCTGGAGTTCCCAATAGCATCCCAGGCAGAGCAGTGGGCCCCCAGGTGAAGCTTCCAAGCAAAAGATCAAATTGCCGCGTTCACAAATGACATCTTCAAATCGGGTCTCACCGTACTGGAGAACTCCGGGGAAGCTGAGCCTGTCGGCTGGAGTTCCCAGCTGAGCATGCTCTCTGTGGCTCAACTTCAGCCTTCTCTTTCACATGCCTGCACCTTTATATGATGAGATAAACAACAGGAGGAGTTTATCTGTTGTGTTAAACTGTTGGAGGTGGTTTACCGTAGACTGTTTTGAGGACACAGTATTTCCCTTCTCGGACTACTTTATCATCAATGACATAGATTGAAAGGGAAGCCCATTCCAGGCAATGAAATGGGTGAGGAGGCCCAGCCTGCTCCCAGAGGCAACTTGTCAGTGAACTCAAACAACAGTGTATGCTAAGCAATCTGGAAGTTCTTTGAACTCAGTCCTTTGGGTGATTATTACACAGGTGTGACTGATAAAATAATTAGCTATTGATCAGCTCAGTCTTCAGCCTCTGCCCCTTCCTTAAAGGTGTGTGTGTGCCTGTGTGGTACTAAAGTCCAGACCTCTGACCTTGGAGTGGGCTCCCCTGGCAATCAGTTCTTGAGGGAGTGATTCATCTACTGTGTGGGGGCTGGGAACTGAACTTGGGTTTCAGGCATAGCAGCAAATGTCTTTAGTGTTTGAGCCATCTTGCAGGTCCCCTGCTTATGTTTTAAAGGAGGAGGAAGGAAGAAATTGCTTTAGACCTAACAAAAAGCCTTTGTGGTCTAGCTTTAAAGACTAGCTAGGTAGCATTTAATTTTCACATTAATTTGATACATATGAATATGTCGGTATAATTAAGTTAGGTACAGAACTGGCAGTTGTGTTGTTAATCATATTAATTTTTCTCTAAAAACACAAAGAAAAGAAGATAATGGCTTCGACTTTGCACAGTCCAATGGAAGTTTTATTTCTCTGTAATTTTGAAAAGAGAAACCAAGCAAAAAAAGTAGGTGGGAGGGCTGGAGAGATGGCTCAGAGGTGAAGAGCACTGGCTGCTCTTCCAAAGGTTCTGAGTTCAGTTCCCAGCAACCACATAACCATCCATAAAGAGATCTGGGCAGGCATACAAGCAGGCAGAACATTGTATAAATAATAAATAAATAAATCTTTAAAAAAAGTAGGTGATATAGGAAAGCATCTTAGTTACTTTTCTGTTGCTATGAAGAGACATCATGACCATCATGTTGGGGGCTTACAGTTTCAGAGGGTGACTCCATCATGGCAAGGAACAGGGCAGCAGGCAGGCAGGCATGCTTCTGGAGCAGTAGCTGACAGCTTACATCCTAATCAGCAGGTAGGAGGCAGAGAGAGAGAGAATACTAAATGAGAATTATCTGTGCTTTTGAAACCTCAAAGCCTGCAGCCCCAGTGATACACTCTTTCAGCAAGGCCACACCTCCTAATACTTCCCAAACTGTTCTACCAGCTGGAAACCATGTAACCAAATATATGAGCCTATGAAGCCTGTTCTTATTCACACCACCACAGAAGGCAAGAGGCGTGCTTTTCATTCCTTACCACAGAGTGTGTCGCCTCTGGGTCCTCAGTGGGTGTGTGTTTCCCTCCAACAGCAAACCTCCAGCACACACTGCCTGGCATCCAACAACCCACTTCTGAGTCCACCTGCCTGGCGACAGCGTCAGACCTTACAGGTTAAAGGCTTGGTCCCATGTAACTATTCCTGGCTTCAGATGCCAGTGAGTGTGGCAGCCCGAGCGTCTGACTTGCCATGTCCTCCTTGGGCTCTGTTCATTTGCTAGCATGCCTCACAGAAATCAGGAATCGTGTTTGCCGGGTACTGATAGAGGATGCTCTAAAGGTTGGGGATGGGTGACCAGGTCAGGAGCCGACCTCCTGTTTGCCTCCCTCTACACACCTCTAGGTGTTCAGCAGTTGGGAAACTCTCTGAACCTAGTCCTTTGAGCTTTCATGGAAGCTTTATTACATGGTGTGATTGATAAAATAATCAGCCGTCGATGACATAACCTTCAGCCTCTGCCCCTTCCTTGGAGGTCAGGGGCTATGGCATAAAGACCAGCCCTCTGGTCCTGGGGTTGGCTCCCCTATCAGCCTGTTCCCCATCTTCAGGCAGCTTAGGAAACCACGGCCATCAGACTTCCCTGGAGCACATACTGCCCTTCAGCTTCCTACTCTCTCAGCACTTTGGGAGGACCCCTTCTTTGATGCTTGTCATCTGCCACTGTGTGGACTGTTGTCCCAACACAGCATGGTTCCCACTCGTGAGTCTGTGGCACCCTTTTGTTCATGTTCACAGAAATTGTTTAGTGTTTTTTTCTATAGCATGGACAACATTCTATGAGAAAGCTTTAAGGATTATGCTTATTAGTTTTGACAATGAGTATGTGTGTATCTGTGGGGGGCATATGTGCAGGTACCCTTAGGGAACATAGGTGTCAGATTCTCTGGGGCTGGAGTTTCAGGCCCTTGTGAGTCAGCTGACAAGGTTTCTGGGAATCGAACTCTGGTCCTCCAGAAGAGCAGCAAGCCCTCTAAACCACTGAGTCATCCCCTGCCCCCCTATGAACATTCTTACGTGTGTCCTCTGAGAGCATGCGTGCAAAGTGTGGAGGTCAGAAGATGATTTGGGTGAGGTCAGTTTTCTTCGTCTGCCATGTGGGATTCCAGGGGATGGAACTCAGGTTGTGAAACTTGGCAGTAAACCCTTTCCCCCTCTCAGCCATCTTGCCAGCCCCAATGGATGTTAAGTGTAGGATGCCTGTTCCAGTAGGCAGGTAGCTGTGCAGTTCAAACTGGCCTAGAAATCTCCGTGTTGTCCATACTGGCCCAAACTCTTAAACTTCCTGCCTCTGAGTCCCCAGTGCTTGGATTATAGGTGCGTATCAAAACACAAGGCACTAGAAAATGCCAAGCCATTTTCTAAAACCAGTGTGCCGACTTTCTTTTCTTTTCTTTCTGCAGCTGCCACAGGCCTGTAGAGGAATGCCTGCCATCAGTTGGAATGGCACTGGTTGCTTGGCACCTTCTTGCCCTGTTCGGTACTTTCTGCTTTTCCAAGGGCCAGCGCCAACCTCCTGTGTGTGTGTGTGGACACTATGGGGTAGAGGTGTGTGCTGTTGCCTATGGGTGGTGTTCTGAAGGAGCCACAGGACGCCCTTGGCACTGCTCAACTGTGGTTAGACTCTGTTTTGAATAGCGGGGTGGTTGATCATGGTTTTAGGAGAATGGCTGAAGGCCAGGCAGGTATCCATAGATGCAAGCAGAGGCCAAACAGTGCTGCCAAAAGGCTTTCAAATAGAAGGAAGGGACCCTATAAGCCTTACACTCAGAGGGGTATCAAGGTTTGACAGTGGGTGTGGTGGTATGTGCCCTGGGAGGTGGAGGTTTTGAGCCGTCGAGAACTCGGAAGTTCAAATGTTACTGAGTATTCTGGGAGTTTATGCTGAACTCCTTTGCTCACATCACCTCAGGCATCTTCACCCTGGCACAGGCCCAGCATGCACACGGGCTGTGTGTGTGTGTGTGTGTGTGTGTGTGTGTGTGTGTGTGTGTACTTCTCATGGTGTGGGAGAGCAGGATAAACTTTGAAGAAATTAATTTCCAGATTCTCAGATCCATAGTTTGCACCTGTCCCGCCCCCTCCATAATGCTGGGGATGGAACCCAGGGCCTTGCATATGTTATGAACTCTACCACTGAGCTCGCCAGGCCTTGTTTCTTTTGTTTGAAATAGAACTTTGCTGTGCCTCCTTTGGCAGCACGTATACTAAAATGGGAACACTACAGAATCAGTTAGCCTGGCTTCTGTGCCAGGATGACGCACAAGTTTGCCAAATGTTCCATGTTTTTCTCGAAGCAATTAAACAAATGTAAAAATAAATAAATATTAAAATTTAAAAAGTAGCTGGGTGTGGTGGCACTTGCTTTTAATGTCAGCACTCTGGAGGGAAAGGCAAGTGGATCTGGGTGAGTTTGAGCCCACCGTGGTCTACATAGCAAGTTCCTGGCCAGCCAGGGATACATAGTGAGGCCCGTCTCAATCCTCTTCCCTCAAAATATCAATAAAGGCAGTTTTGCTGTATAGTTAGGCTATCCTTGAACTCAGTATGCTCCTGCCACAGCCTCTGGAGTTCTGGACTTGGAGGTGTATGCCCTCATTCCAGCTTGTTCTCAGGTCTTATTAAAGGAAGGAGAGAACTAGCCTGGTGACTCTCACCCATGACCCCAGCACTGGGAGGTGGAGGAAGGAGGACTGTGAGCGTCAAGCCAACTTGGGCTACATCGTGGAATCCTCACCGCTCGGCTACACTGAGATATCTTGCTTTAAAAAAAGGAAGGGGGAATAACATTGATACTAAACCTTGTCTAGAGTTAAGTAAGATATTCTCAGGGTTCATTTAAAATGAATTTCAACTAAAATCTGCTTCTTGTGTTTAGAGATCCTCAAAATTTACAACATGCCCATTTTATTATGATCAAACCAAAATTATAAAGATAATGTAATCTCTGCAAAATTTCCTCACATATGGATCTAAGCAGATAGTGGTAGATATCAAACTGATAGATAGCACTTAGACCTCATTGATAAAATGAGTATAGTCTCATCTTAAATGTCAGTGTTTATAATTTAAGGAAATGATGTCTTTCATAAGTGAAAGTTAAATAGAAATATTTACATATCAATCTATAAGCTCTGGGAAGAACCCAGGACTTTTAGCAACTAATATGAAGGAAGTCAAGTTAAACCGAGCTATGAGCACAGCAGAAATCACAGTGTGGTCTAACCTGTGCACACACCCTCCCAGGCAGGAATTAACATGCTTATCTCCAGTTCACAGTGGGAACAGAAGGACAGGCAGAAGTGTGAGTTCATTTTAGACCAACAGACCCAGGGAATGACTGCTTGTGGTCTGAACTGGGTCTGAGGAGTCCCACCCAAAAGTGCGACTGACTCAGGCAGCTCCTTTTTTTCCGAAAGACACGCGGATCCCCGGTATTCCTAGTGGTACAGGAACCAGCCACTTAGATGGCTGGAAGTGTGTCAGAAGCAGAAGCGCAGAGTTCTAGATCCCAACCCACTGAGCCTGGTCTGTGTCTTAACAAGCGTCTAAGTGACTCGTAGACGTTAGAGCCGGAGATCTTCCCCAGAGCATGATCTGGACCCTCTTCAGCTCTTTCTGTATTTCCCTCTGAAGACCTCCAGGCAGCCTTCTGGTCCATTCAGGCCACCATCACTCAGTGTGTCCACACAAGTAATTCGGTGCTCTCTTTTAACCCTTCCAGGCTCTTTGGTCTCGACATTAAAGGCAGAGATTGTGGTGATGAAGTAGCTCAGTGGTTCACCAACTACCTGAAGACGCAACCCTACAGGTTGGTTCAATTTGAAACCAGCATGAAAGGGAGGACAACAAAGAAACTTTACCCGTCTGAAAGTTACCTTCAGAATTATGAGGTGAGCCACAGTCTTCCTTCTTTCTGCCAGCTACTCTGGGCCCACTGTGTCCCTCCTCTGTCCATGGGAGCCCCTCAGGAGACTTCAGTTAGAAAACCTTGGCAGTGGTCCCAGGCATAACCTACACTGTAAGGACGGAGGGGGAAGTGAGATGAGGGATGCCTCATTGCTGAGGCTGCTGAGGTGCCGAGAGAGCTAGGTATGGGAGATGGGTGGAGGAGGAGCCCAGGTCTAGGAACACTGCCCGCTAGGGAAGACTAGACATAATGAGCCACAGTGTCCAGGTACCTCAGGGATTCCCCTCCAAAGCCAAGGGAAGTTTATTTATTATTAATATTACTAACTATATTATTACTTATTTTCTTTGTTACTAGTGTTTTACTCCTAGAACAGTGTCAGCTGTCTACTGGTGATCAACAGATTTACAGGGAATGGACAGTGTTGATGAAATTCTCACTAGAATGTATTAGGTTGGCAGCAGACTTCTCCTGTTTGATGAGGAAGTAGACCGGGCTGGCTAATAGTGACACACGCCTTTAACCCTGTCTATCATTCCTGAGGTAGAGGCAGGAGGCTCTCCGAGTTCAAGCACAGCCTGCTCTGCATAATAAGTTCCAGGACATCCAGGACTACGTAGTGAGTCCCTGTCTCAGATAAATACATGATTAAATAAAATACCAGGAGGCAGCCAAGCTGCTGCGGTGTCCTGTGTGTACGTGGAGCCCCAGTTTCAGCGCTCGCATCCGTTCTACAAGCCCGGGTCTCCATCTCCTGCATACAGCCCTCCCCTTCCTCACCCGAGAGGTTTTCTGTCTGCTGAGCTCCAGAGGGGCTCCGGAGTGGACGGGAGGCCTGACAGGGCTGTGTTCTGTAACAGGTAGCCTACCCGGACTGCAGCCCTATCCACATGATTTCTGAAGCCTCCTTGGACGATCTCAACACCAGGTTGAAGAAGAAAGTGAAGATGGAATATTTCAGGCCAAACATCATGGTGTCGGGGTGCGAGGCTTTCGAGGAGGTAAGGGGCCAGCTACACAGCATCAAACTTAGGAGATAGGGATTCTGCGCTCTTACAAGCACCCAGATTCCCCAAGCCTGGTGGTGGGGAGAACCCTCTATGGTAGCTATGCCTGCTAGTGGCCTCCAGGGGGCACTGTTCACATCCTCATGCTTATGCTCCAGAGCTCACCGAACTCCAGCTTGCAGCCAAGTGACTGCGCTGCAAGACCGGTAGCCCAGGCCTAAGGAAAGGAAAGGAAGCTAAAGAGCACAGCCTTCTCCTTCTCTTGTACCACTCAGAATGTTCAGTGATTTCAGTTCCAGGGTCCCACGTAGAGGCTATGAAGGAGCTCCACCCTCGGGTAGTGTCCTGTGCCAGCCCTTGCTATGGTCTGAGCTTTCTTCTGTGCCTTCCTGAGTGACTAGCCGCAGGGAATTCTAACCTCTTCATTCACTACAGCCTTAGAGAGACAATTCCAGCAGAATCCAGTGAACACAGCCTCCACACAGCTGGGTGAAGGCCTACTGAGCATGGGGAAGAGCGGGCTATGCTTTCAAGACAGGATTTCTCTGTGTAGCCTTGGCTCTTCTGGACTCACTTTGTAGACCAGGCCGGCCTGGAACTCAGAGGCCTGTCTCTGTTTCCCGTGTGCTGGGATTACAGGCGTGTGCCACCGCGCCCAGCATGATGTTTTCTTTTCTTTTTTTTTTTTTTTTAAACAAAAAACAACCCAAGCCTATTTGCTGTTATATTCCTGAATTATGATGGGCTTCCAAAAATAGTAAATAAGATAAAATGTTCTTATTTTCCTTGAAAATTCTATAGCCATGCATATCTTAAGCAAACTCCTTCCTGTGAAACGATGCTGCTGTGCTGATTTAGTCCATGCTCAGTGAGGAGGCCCGGTAGTGAAGGATGCAACACACTGGCCTGTCTGCCTCCCGCCATCATAACCCTTTCAAATATTAATGCAGAGTGACTAAGCACATATGTATTTAATCCTCAACTAGAAAAATATGGCAGACCTGAGCCTGATGCAGAAGTCTGGGTGGTTAAATTCAGGGAAGTAGGGAAAGGCATTGTGGGACATTCCCAGCTCCTGGAAGAAAGTGCCATGGGCTTTCCCCTGGGGAGTTAGAGGATGAAGCCGGTTTTAAAAGGCGTGGGCCAGTGTGCTGCGTGTTCGATTTCTGGAACACGGAGTGTTCAGAACACTGCTTATCTCTGTCACTGGCAACCATGTGGCTCAGTGTTCCCTGTACTTAGCTCGCTGTCCCGAGCTGAACTTGAAATGTTTTAATGGGGCATCTTTGTGTAAGTCCTTACTCTACATTTTGAAAGAGCTGGGAGAGAAGACTGAAGAAAAAAAAAAAAATCACAGTGTGTTCTCCATCACGTGGGAAGGGCTGTTTCTACAGAGTTCTAGAGAGGGAGGTTTTATTTTTGTTTGTTGCACCTCAGACTCCCTGTGTTGCTGAGGATAGCCTTGAACTTGTCTTGCTTGGGATTCCAGGCCTGCTGTTTGGGAGGTGCTAGGACTCAAACCCTGGCCTCGAGCATCCTGGGCAATGCCCTGCCCCTCCCCCCCCAGGGGTAGCCTCATTGCCCATCTCATCTGATCGGACGCTGAGCAGGGTCAGCCCTGGCCAGCACTCAGATGGGCGAGTTCCTGAAGCCAGGCACTTATGCTTTGAGTGCCAGCCCCAGCACTCACTGTTGGTGTGGCCTTGACCTTGCCAGTCCTTCCTGTTCTAGCAGGCGAAAGGCAACATTTGGGCAAATCCTCATTTCTAGACCTTTGTCTCTGATGGCTTGAGTTAGGACAACAGCCCTGCTGCCCCACGGGCTTCAAGGAATGTTTTCTTCTTTAAAATCTGTGTGTTTTTATATTTATGTTGTGTGTGTGAGTGATCCGGCTGCATGTGCGTATGTGTACCAAATGCATGCAGGACTTGTGGAAGCCAGGAAATGGTGTCAGATCCCTGAAACCTGAAACTAGAGTTGAGTGTGAGCCATCATGTGGGTGCTGGGAAATGAACCGGGGTCCTCTGCAAGAGCAGCAGTACTCTTAAGCACTGAGCCGTCTCTCCAGCCCCCCTTTAAAAAACAACTTAAAAAAAATACATCCATGTATTTTGTGGTGTGTGTGAGTGTATGTGTGTGTGTGTGTGTGTGTGTGTGTGTGTGAATGTGTGTGTGTGTGTGTGTTCGGTGCAGTAGTAGAAAATCAGAACTCTTTAGCACGGAAACGTGGCCATCAAGTACAGACTAGAACTGTGTCCCCTGACTCCACAGGTGCACCCCTGGGCTGTGGGGGTGAGGACAGTCACACTGTAAGGGTGAGGTGTGTTCACACAGAGTCAGAAACCAGGGACACGGGCAGCTCTTTAATGATCCACTGCAGAAACGCTTCCAGGTAAAGTAAGTTCTTTTCTGTTATAGCAGTGAATCTGAAGTACTGCACCCTGGCTGGGGCGTAACTTGATGGCAGAGCGCCCGTCCTGCCTGCACACTGGAGACCCTGCCTTGGTTCACAGGGTGTTTGTCATGGCGCATTGCCAGCACAGGCGCCCAGAGCTCTCTCTCTCTCTCAGGTGTTTCCCTGGTCTCTGTGCTACTCTAAACACCAACCCACATAGGCGTCCATTGTCACGTGGTGCATGCTTTCTCTCTGGCCATGTGCATAAACGCATAATGGTCATGCACAAGTGTGATGCATTTTATGTAGAGATGTTTATGTAGACATAGCCGCTTCTGCTCACAGAGAGAAATAAGAAGGAAGGAAGGAAGGGAGGGTCTCTATATTCTATTTTAAGTTTCATACACTTAAGGCAAATACCTATAGGGGTTTTAAGGAACATCTCAACAAACAAACAAAACCCTCACCTGTGCTGCTTCGTGTGGTTCCCTTCCTCGCCTCCAGTCTTTACCTTTTTCTTGGGGTCTTGCTTATGGTGGAAAGCCTTGTGTACTGTTAGTTTCCTATTTACAAAATGTGCACAACCTGACAGAATTTCCAGGAGGGGCTGGCAAGATGGCACAGCAGTTAGGAGCACTGGCTGCTTTTGCTGAGGACCCGCATCTGACTCCCAGCACTCACATGGTGGCTCCAGACCCTGGGGATCCAGTGCTCTGTCTTCCTCAGGCACCGCATGCACGTGGTGTAGAGAAACACACGCAAAACACCTGTACTCAGTAAAATAATAATAGTGGTGGTAACAACAACAACAACAATAATAATATTCCCAGTGTTAACTCCGCAGAGTGCAACCCATTACACGAACCATTTTCCCTCTCTCCTTGACCATTTCCCTTCCTTTTCCTCTCATTTTCAACTCACAGATCCCTCCTCACCTTGCCTAGGTGCCGGACTTTATCAGAATGCAGTGGGCTTTTTAACCAGTAGGGGGCACACTAGGCTCTTCTAATGGTTTCCTCGAGGAAGCCCCTGGAATCTTGCTGGATAGTGATTTCTTTGAGATGGATGTGTCTGGTGTGAACATTAAACTCATCCATTGTGAATTTAAATTTTCAGTTTTTTTTAAACATTCTTTTTAGGAACTGAATTAACCATTGCATTTAAACTTAAGTGTAGTTGTTTTCAAAGCAGTTAGTGCTTTTGAACCAAAATGTGGACAATGATCAGGAGGGGCTGAATGCCTGGTAAAGCCTTAACAGTGTCAAGACGCAGTTAGAGTTGGTGTTAAGGACAGACTGGAGGAGACCAGACAAATTGCTAATGAGCCCTGCAGTGGCCCCATGGAACAGGTGACCTAAATTTGTCTTGTTGAGCTAAAACTCTAACTGAACATTTCAGGTCTCTGGCTTTCTGCTATAGCCACCGTGAAGAATTCTCCCAGACAAGTGGCTTGGGATGTTGAACTCGCTGTCACTTGGAACAAGGGAATTGAATACAAGGTTGGAGAGGCTTTGGAGTCCCACACTGCTAGTGGCTCGCATTCCTGTGGCTGCGGCGCCCTCGTCTGGTAGAGGGCGCCCAGAAAACTTGGCTGCTTACAGTCCTGGGCCCTTTTCCCTTCCCCAGGCAGGCGCCGTACCAGCCACCCAGGGAGGCGTGCCCCAGGCTTCCCTTGCGGTGCCACTGTTTGAACAGGGTTTGTCCACAGTCAGTGGCATCGCTTGTCACATGGTGGGGCCTTTCACAAAGCTTTCACAAAGCTCGCATAGCTCCTGGGCCAAATGACTGCTCGGAGTTTATTTCCACCGGGAGCAGTTTCCTGGAGGATGTCTGGGGACACAGGGTATCTGTGGAGACTCTGTACTGCAGCTGTGGTCATACTGGTGGGAGGTAGAGGCCCAAGTGAGGAGCTGGTTTGCCTTTGACTATGGAGTGTGCGATGACATCGTAGCCAGGCGCAGAAGGGGAGACTAGACAGTGCTCACCCCTGCCCTTGCTCTGGCCTCTGTAGAAACTTAAGTCCCTCTCATCACTCCACCACACCCACTAAGCCACCAGCTGAGCAGGGGTCAATTCCTCATCACTCACTTCTCTGCACATCTGTTACACTCAAGATCCTCAGAAGCCTCACCTGGTTGAGGTCAGTGTCCAAGGAACATTCTTTGCATCTGATTGCAGATGCTGTGTTGATTTATGGGGAGTGTGCTGAGGCCCCGTCCTCAAATATCCCGTTTCTTCCTAGAGACCTAGACAAAGGTTTGTACTGTTAATCAGTGGGTCTCAGCAGGACAGCCACAAACCTTCAAGAGATGGACCCCAGACTGTGTTCTTTCAGAGATAGGGCTTGTGTAGCCAGGGCTGGCTTTGAGCTCACTGTGTAGCCAAGGACCCCTTGAATCATGGCATTCCTGATTCTTCTCTCTCTCTCTCTCTCTTTCTCTCTCTCTCTCTCTCTCTCTCTCGAGCTGAGACTACAGGTGTGACCATCGTGCCAGGCTCCCAAGTCACCTTTTATTAGTAAGCGGGTCCGTAACCTTTATGTAAGCATGTGAATGTTTGTATTAAATATGTAGCCACAGTGTTTATAAGAGGCCATAGATGTACGGCCCTGCCGTATTGATGGTTTTGGGTTGAGGACACTTGAGAAGGCAAATGCAGGAGATCACGCTGATGTCGGAGTCTGTTTCTCTCACAGCCCAGGCTAGGGTGTCCTCAGCAGAGACAGGAAGCTGGGGCCGAGGGACCTGCCCAGACAAGGGAAACTGATCTTTTTCTGCTTGGTCATGGCCCCATCTGCCTTGCCACGCGCTCAGAACCTCCTGCTCTCTGTCCTTTCAGTGTGTGAGTAGTCAACTCTGGCTGGGTCCTTAAGTCTACCCTCTATTATGAAAGCATGGGTCATATGAAATATGTATGTATGCATACATGCTTTTCTTTTTATCTCTGTTTCATGTCAATTTAATTATCAGACTTAGCGGAAGGGTCCCAAGAGGATAGATATTTTGCCTCCCGTAGGGTGTACTCCACATAATCTGTGTATATGTGGGTGTATGTGTGTGTAGCCCTTCATAGATTCTGCCAGCTGCAGCTAAAACATGACTTGGTGTCTGGAGGGATGGCTCAGTGGTTAGCAGTGTTCCCTGTGCAATCATAAGGATCCCGGCACCCATGTGACAAGCCGGGACCTCACAAACACCTGAAACTCCAGCTTTGCGGTACTTGAAGGCCTGTCCTGGCCTCTGCATGCAAACAGGTGCAGGCACCCCTCCCCCAAACACCTCACGGTGTACCACACTCACATACACATTCCAACAAAATAAGCCTTTTTTAAAAGGAAAGTTTTCAAATACAGGGTCGAGACCTCAGTACTGAGCTGTACACCTTTAGTTCATTATTTCCTAAGTGAAACAATGTACCTATGACTTAGTTGAACACAAATGAACTAGAAATGATCTAAAGTCTGCGGGAATGTGTGCGTAGATTAAGAGGCAGTACCACACCAAGGCCATTTCACATAGGACATACACTCTTGACGATTTGGGATTCTGAAGTGGGTGCTGGAAACAACCCCCTTTCTGGACACCAGGGGACACTGAAATGTGTACAGGTGCCTGTGTGTGGGGGAACCATATGCAGTGTTTTGACAGTGTGTTTTATGTGTGTGCACATGTATGTGCGTTTATGTTTCTGCATGTGTCTGTGTTTCTTTTTTAGGAAGGTGCTTTACTCACTTGTGTTTGTGTGAGCCTGTGTGAGTGTCTGCGCACTGTGTATGTGCAGTGCCTGTGACGGCCACAAGAGGGGAGCGACTCCCCTGGAACTGGAGCCGTGAGCTGTCAGGTGGGTGCTGGGAAGTGGACCCAGGTCCTCTGCGAAAGCAGCCAGTGCTCTTAACCACTGAACCATCTCTCTAGCCCCAGTGCATGTGTCTTGTGTATAATGTTTGTGTATGTGTGCATTTACATGTCTGTGCGTCTGTATTTGCATGTACGTGTATGCACATTTGTGTATGTGTTCGTAAGTAGATGTGTGTTGGTGTGTATGTATAAACACACATATGTATGTATGTGTGTGTATGTATGTTTGTATGTGCGTTAGTGTGTTTGAGTGTATAAGTGTTTCTGTAAACAGAACTGAAAGTTTGTGTATATATGTCATCTTTGTGGGTGGATTGAAAGTGCACGGGAGGATGAAAGCTTTGCCTTCAGAGTAAAAGGTTTTCAAACCTAGCTGTCCTGCTTCCTCCTTGTGGGACTTCAGAGAGTGCTGCAGTGTTCTGCACGTCCGTGTCTTGGGGAACATGGGAATCGCAGTAGCACCTCCCTTCAGGTTATGAGGACCAATTGAAGACCGGGGTTCAAGGGTGGAAAGGCAAGGCACGCTCAGTGGCCGCGGGATGCCTGTCCCATTTCACACCGCATCCTGTGGGAATGACAGGCGGGGAAACCCTGGTTGACTATACGTGGGTGATGTCTCACGCAGCCCTCAGACCTTCCCCGGCCTCTGCTGCAGCTGAAAGCAGGGCTTCTCGACCTTCCCACTGCTGTGACCCTCTAACACAGCCCCTCATGCTGTTGTGTCCCCCAAGCATAGGATTAATTTTATTACCGTTATGAATCGTAATGTAAACATTTTTTTGGAGATTGAGGGTTGCCGAAGGGGTCTCGACCCATAGGTTGGGAGCTGCTGAGTTAAACCATAGGCAGGGGTAGGCTTGTCTCAGAAGCTGCAGGTTTCTCGTGTGTGTCAGCAAAGCAGTCTGAAGATTCTGCTGCGAGCTATGTGCTTGTGAGGGTCTGTTCTTGCTCACTTAGCAGAATCAGTGATTGGGACTGTGAATCAGGAGGAAGGTGCCTGGGGCTGGGAGGTCATGCAGTGGGCGAGTGCTTTAGGGTCCATATTCAGGGCTGTAGGATGTTTTTAAGGTAAATCATGTGTCATGAGTTGACCGTGCACTGCCTCTCTCGGGCACGTTCCGCAGTTCCTTGTGTCCTTGTGTGCTCCCTCCTTCTGCTGGTGTCACACTTAGTCCCTGACCAAGACAAAGGGAGCCTGACTCTAAAGACACTTCTTCCTCTTCTCCTAGGACACTTGGGATGAACTCCTGATTGGTGATGTGGAGATGAAAAAGGTGCTGAACTGCCCCAGGTAAAGACAGCTTAGACGTGGCCTCTGGGTCGTGCAGTACACATTGATTTGTAACCGCCATGTGCTCCTGACACAAAACGCTCTTTGACAGGTGTGTTTTCACTACAGTGGACCCAGACACCGGAATCATAGACAGAAAGGAGCCGCTGGAAACCCTGAAGAGGTAGGACGCCAGCACGTGCCCACAACTACCCATCATGTGTCAGGCCCTGATGTCCCTACCCCGGAGCACCTTCCTTTGACTTGTCTCTGTCCCTCATGGCCTGTGGGTCCTTGTTTCTTCCTCATCTTATTTCCCTAATTTTCTAGATCGATCCTCTATTCTGACACATTCTCAGGTGTACAATTTCTATTTCAAAACTCTCATCAACTTGTGTGTGTGTGTGTGTGTGTGTGTGTGTAAGTCATATGATGACATATTGGATGACTTTGTCAGTCACTTTTCACCCCTTTTGGGTTTGTTGTATAGTAGATTCCTTTTCTTTTTTAAATGACTATTTATTTATTTGTTTGTTTGTTTGTTTGTTTGTTTGTTTGTTACCTTGTGTGGGTTGCTGTTTTGTCTGTCTGTATGTCTGTGAGGGTGTTGGATCCCCTGAAGCTGGAGTTACAGGTGGTTGTGAGCAGCCATGTGGGTGCTGGGAATTGGAGCCAGGCCCCTGTGGAAGAGCAGCCAGTGCTCTTAACTGCTGACCCACCTCTCCAGCTGACCCATCTCTCCAGCTCTTAGATTTATTTTCGAAGGGCGGAACTCCTAGACAGTTGAGAGCTGCTGTCAGGGACGGTGCCACTGTCCTCACTTCTAGACACTCGCCTGTGTTCCCTGAGTCCCCTCAGTGAGGAACAGGTCTCTCACACTTCATTCCTGTGCGGCCTTTGCATCTGAAGCATCATACACCATTCCTTATGGACACCATTCTCTGCTCCCATATCAGGAACGTCTAACCTCAGTTCATATCCCATAGCTGTAATGGTCTCAACTTGCTCCAAACTGTCTAAGCCCAGGTCTTCAGAAAACGCTAGGTAGCTAGGGCTTTCTGGGCCAGTCTTAGGGTTTCAAGACATATAGAATTTGGTCCTTGTTTCCTCTAATGTCAAAGAGGCATGTCATACTGACAGTAAAAATGTGCGACCCTCAGTGGCACCTATGCAAGTACCTGAGATTAGCTGTGTAAGCCTTTCCTGCAGAGGTAGAAAGTACTTCAGAGTGACTGGGCCAGGACCAGCTTGGACGGTGTGCCAGCAAGGAGGGAAAGACACGCAAGTTGGCGGTGCCAACCAGGATGCACTTCACTTTATGTTTGAAACAAGGTTTCTCACTGGCCTGGAACTTGCCAGTGAGCCCCACGGGCCATCTGTCCCTGCCTTCCCAGTACCGGGATGATAGGCGGGTGCCACTGGGTTTTTTCTGCCTGCTGGAGATCTGAACCCAGGTCCTGTAGCTGCCCAGCAGCCATTTTACCAACTGCCTCACCAGGCCCTCTTACTAATTTTTAAAAATTCAAGAGGCCCCAGGGTTTCATCACAAACATTGCAAAAACTGTAAAAGGACAAAAAGACCTAACTGAAAATTTTTAGGGGTGGCTGTATTATCTTGTTTGCCTTTCCTCTGTTTTTATTGTTTGTAGGAGGCCTTTGGATTTACAGTTCTATGTTCTCTGCTTTTTAAAACACAGTGATGATAATTTTTTTCAGCTAAGGACTTCATGAGCAGCCCCACTGGTCAGCGGCCCTCTTTCTTAAGTTTTGTTTGCCCAGGAACGGCAGTTTTGAGCCTTAATGTTGGAGAAGTTGAAAGCCTAGGGAACAAATGCCTCGAACCAGAGCTCTGGCAAATGTTCTAGTCTCGTTGCTGTAGCAAAATACACCGATGAAAGCAACGCAAAGGAGAAAGGTTTGCTTGCGCTCACAATGCCAGCTAGCCATGCATCATTGTGGGAAGTTAAGGCAGGAAGGTACCACACTTAGTCACGTCGCCTCTAGTGATGAGCAGGGAAACGAATGCACACATGCTTGCTGTGCTGAGCTTGGTTTTCCACTCAGGGCCCCTAGCCTAGGGAATGGTGCCGCCCACACTGGGCTGGGTCTTCCCACATCAGCTAACTTAATTCAGACAGGCACAGGCCACGCCAGTGTAGGCAGTCTGTCGTTGAGACTCTTCTCTGAGGTGTTTCTCGGTGGTCATTGCAGTCCATGAGGAGTGGTTCCAGTTGGAGATTTCATGAGAGTTTTTTCCCATGAGTTTTGAGTCCAAGGTCCCTGAGTAATAACATATTTGTACAATACTGACACAAAGTCACATTGCTGTTGTTATTTTTTGAGAGAGGGTTTTTTCCTGTGTAATTCTGCCTGACCTGGAACTTACTTTGTAGGCCAGGCTGGCCTCAAACTCAGATCCTCCTGAGGGCTGGGATTAAAGGTGTGTACTACCACACCTGGCTTTAGAGAACCCACAATTATTTGGCTACTTTACAGTCGTTCCTGTCCACCTTTAGAAAGGGCTTGTTGGCCCACAATTAGCCTAAGGAACGAACTTCCAAGTTCTGTGGATAACACTAGATTCCTGTTTCCCTTTGGTCCCTGATGACAGCTTTTGACTCTTTCAGCTACCGCCTGTGTGACCCTTCTGTGAAGAATCTGTACCAGTCCTCCCCACTTTTTGGGATGTATTTCTCAGTGGAAAAAATTGGAAGCCTGCGAGTCGGTGACCCTGTGTATCGGATGTTGGATTAGTGGATCCAGTGGGGTGACACGGTAAAAGCTTCGCTCTTCATCTAGAACTCAGTGTCTTGACAACACGACCTCATTTTCTTGTCTTCTGATACTTTAAAACAATTTTTTTTTAATATCTTTTTTTCTGTGTATGGATGTTTTGCTTGCATGTATGTCTGCGCCCCACATGCATGACAGTGCCTGAGGAAGCCAGAAGATGGCCCCAGATCCCCTGGAAGTGGAGGTACAGATAGCTGTGAGCTGCCATCCAAGTGCTAGGAATCAAACCTGTGCCCTCTGGAAGAACATCCAGTGCTCTTAACCACTGAGCCAGCTCATTCAGATGCTTTCTAAAGAACCTTATGCTGTTTTAATTCTTAGGAGACTGAGCAGTTTGGGAATCAGAAAAAATGCTCTGCCCCATTACTTCGATAATTTATTTACTTTTACCCAGCATTCCCCATCCTGCTTCCCATTTGTTTACAAAGTAGGGGCTGCCCCGCCAAACTGGCAGGTGCCCCTGGTTCCCTGGGGGAACATCATTAAAGGAGTAAGGCGCCAGGAATAAGGATCCTAGTACTTGAGGCAGAGGCAGGCAGATCTCTGAGTTCAGGGCCAACCCGGTCTACAAAGGGAGTTCCGGAATACCAGGGCTACACAGAGAAACCCTATCTCGAAAGACAAACAAAACAAAACAACACAAAAAAAGAATAAGGAATGAAGGGAAATGGTCCTCTAGGGTTAGCTGTGGGGTTTTTGTTTGTTTGTGTTTGTTTTCTGTCTGAGAAAATGAGGAAAATATTGAGAGTGGGTGCTTTATCAGACACCACTTAAATATAAATTCAAGTTTAAAAGTGCCAGTGCACTACTCACTAGATCATGATGCTGAAGTAGAAAATAACATTTTGGTTTTCTTTTTTTGTTGTTGTTGTTCTTTTGGTTTTCTTTGTTTGTTTGTTTTTGAGACAGGGTTTTTCTCTTTAGCCTTGGCTGTCCTGGACTCACTTTGTAGATCAGGCTGGCCTTGAACTCACAGTGATATGCTTGCCTCTGCCTCCCTGAGTGCTGGGATTACAGGTGTGTGCCATCATACCCGGCTGAAAAAATGATGTTCTTACACTGATTGTATCTGGTCAGCTCGAGCCCTGAATCCTGCAGGCGCAAGCTGCACCCTCAAGTTATAGGAATGAGGAGTCATGGAAGACCTTCCCTTGAAGCTTCTAAACAGCATCTGTAGCAAAATCTATTATCTACCCTCAGAAGAATAACTTTTCCTCCTCCTCCTTCTCCTCCTCCTTCTCTTCTTGTTCTTCCTCTTTTCCCTCCTCTTCCTCTTCTTCTTCCTCTTCCTCCTCCTCCTCTTCTTTCATTTTTTGAGACAGGACTTCTTTGTGCAGCTCTGGCTGTCCTGGACTCACCCTGTAGAGATTCACCTGCCTCTGCCTCCCCAATGCTGGGATTAAAGGCATGGGCCACCACTGCCTGGAGTTCTTCTTTGTAAAGATTTATTTATTTTTATTTCATGTGGACGAGTGTCTTGCCTGTATACATGAATGTATACCATATACATGCAGTACTAGCAAAGGCCAGAAGAGACTGGGGGATTCCATGGAACTGGAGTGACAGAGGGTTGCGAGCTGTCACATGGGCTCTTGGAGCCAAACCCTGAGCCATCTCTCCAAGCTTTATTTCCTAGTTTTTTTAATTAAAAATTTTATTTTTTATATGTTAATTACAGTTTATTCATTTTTGTGTCCCAGCTGTAGCCCCTCCCTTCCTTACCCCCCCTCCCTCCCTTATCTCCTCCCATGCCCCTCTCCAAGTCTACTGATAGGGGAGGTCCTCCTCTCCTTCGATCTGACCCTAACTTATCAGGTTTCATCAGGAGTGGCTGCATTGTACTCCTCTGTGGCCTGGCAAGGCTGCTCCCCCATCAGGGGGAGGTGATCAAGCAAGAAGGAGGACTCTGGGTAAGATGATCTATCCTCACTCAGAAAGACAAACGGGATGGACATTGAAAGAAGGAGAAAACAGGTAACAGGTCAGGAGCCTAACACAGAGGGCCTCTGAAAGACTCTACACAGCAGTGTATCAAAGCAGATGCTGAGACTCATAACCAAACCTTGGGCAGAGTGTAGGAAAGCTTAGGAAAGAAGTGGGGGGTAGGGAGGGCATAATAAGACCTGGAGAGGACAGGAGTTCCACAAGGAGAGCAACAAAACCAGAAAATCTGGGCACATGGGGTCTTTTCTGAGACTGATTCTCCAACCAAGGACCATTCATGGATATAACCTAGAACCCCTGCACAGATGTAGCCCATGACAGCTCAGTAGCCAAGTAGGTTCCCTAGTAAGGGGAACGGAACAGGGACTGTCTCTGACATTTCCTAGTTTTTAAAGTCACCTCATGGCCCAAACCTCCGATCGAGACTCTTCTCTCTAATTATTCCCTGGGATTCTCACTATGGTCACCTCTCTGCAGCTCTATCACCTACCTGTGTGACTGACAATACTGAGGACAAAGTGCCATAGAGGTTCATGTTACTCAGGGTGACAGCAGATACACTGGGGTTCATTTTTAGCTCCAAGTCTTTATGGACTGCGAATAGGAAATAAAGGTTGTCCTAACCAAAACATTTAATACAAGTTATTTTGGTATTAATTCATTATCTCAGAAGCTCCATACATATTCGTTATGATTTTTTTTATTGCCCTTTTGGTCTGTGGCACAGTCTTGAGTCACATTTATAGCCATTGTGCTATAAATGTGAGACAGGAAATGGGAAAAAAGGAAATCAGCATCTTTTGGCTTCTTTTATGGGGTGAAAAAGAGATCATTCAGCATGACCAAAGTTTGACTAAGACTGTGTATAAGCAGCCCCAAATACATATTACAAGGAGTTTTTAAAGACAAAGAACACAGAAAAACTACATCCTGTTAGCAGTGCAGGGGGAAGCAAGCAAGCAGTTGAAGGAGCCAAGGAACATGCAGGCAGCTGGGGCATTTTGACCCTGAGTTTCCAGAACAGGATTGAGTGCTTTCCCACGGGACTTTTCAGGCCAAGGGGTAGAAACCAAAGATGGCGTCAGCTAAGACAGAGGGAGTAATCTTACCCTGTTACAGCTCTCTGTGGGATGAGGCATGGAATCATACTTGCCACCATAATTCCTTGTTGTTGTTGTTGTTATTGTTGTTCTCCTCTTCCTCCTCCTTCTTTTGTTTTTTTGAGACAGGGTTTTTCTGTGTAGTTCTGGCTGTCCTGGAACTCACTCTGTAGACCAGGCTGGTCCTGAACGCAGTGATCTGCCTGCCTCTGCCTTCTGAGTCCTGGGATTAAAGGCATGTGCCTCTTTGCCAGGTATTGGTATAATGTTCTTTTGGAATGTATATACTTTACCCTTGTTCATTCAAATGCTGAGTTCTCTCCCTCACTCTCTGGTTTCAAACCGAACATTGCATTGTGATACTTATTCTAAGCATCACCTATCTCAACTCTAAGATTTCACTAAAAGCAAGTATAATGTGGGAAATCTAAGTGTTAGGAAACTATGAGGGCTTGGAGGTTTAGGATGGAGTAACTATTGCCTAGCATTGTGTTCTAGGTTAATTAAATAAATCATAGTTTTCTGTGTGGTGATTTGGTTACACAGCTGTTTAGGAGTAACAGTAGCTTTAATAAAAGATAAACCAATAGTAAATATTAATCAATATTAATCACTACCTACAACAGCCAAGCGACTTTCTTTCCTTCTTCCTTCCTTCCTTCCTTCCTTCCTTCCTTCCTTCCTTCCTTCCTTCCTTCCTTTCTCTCTCTCTTTCTTTCTTTCCTTCTTCCCTCCCTCTCTCCCTCCTACCCTCCCTCCTTCCTTCCTTCCTCCCTCCCTCCCTCCCTTCCTCTTTCTCTTTCTTTCTTTCTTTCTTTCTTTCTTTCTTTCTTTCTTTCTTTCTTTCTTTCTTTCTTCTGTCTAAACATCTTGGAAATGCTTCTCATAGAACATAGGGTGTATTTTGTAAGAATCTTTGTGAGGGCTGGAGAGATGGCTCAGTGTGTAAATGTGCCTGGCCACAAGTCTGACGTCCTGAGTTCAGTTCCCCAGATCCACATTGCAAGGGGAGAACTGGTTCTACCAAGTTGCCTTTTGAGCTCCGCATTCATGTCATGTCATATGTATATTCACACACACTTACATGTACACATTCATACACTCACACACACTTACACGTACACATTCACACACACACACACACACACACACACACACACAAATCAATAAATGTAATTTGAAACATTTTAAAATAGCCAGATGTATTAGCTACCACCTTTAATCCCAGCACTTGGGAGGCAGAGAAAGGTAGATCTCTGTGAGTTCGAGGCCAGCCTGGTCTCTATAGTGAGTTTCAGGACAGTACTACACTGTAAGACCATGTTTCCAAAAACATTGAAAAAGTTAAATAAAATCCTTGTGGTTCAAAATTAATGAATTTTACAATTGATCTGTCTTGGAATTGATGAAATACAGAAGATACTAGAGAGGAAATGGCAGATCCTACTGGGCCCTGTCCTGCTGTTCCAGCTGTGGGTGCCTGAGCCCCATGACTTCCACGTTTGAGGCCCTACAGTCACTTGGTGACAGACCTACCTATTCAGATCCCACCTCCAGTAAACAACAGCAGTTCACTCTGGCAGTTTCTGCTTGCTCAGCTTTCCAGGAGGCCTTGAGCTTTAAAAACCCTAAGATAACCTCTCACCATCCCATTGGGCCTCTGAGGGAGAAATGATAATAGACGCTTAATAGAAAAGCAGTCAAGGCTCACATTGCCAACTGACCTAGCATCGTGGAGCTGAGATGATGCAGCCAAGAGCCGCGGTCCTCACCCGGCATACTGTTGTACTCTTATGAGTGAGGAAATAACACCATAGGAGTCGTACCACTTTTATCACTACCCTTGAGCCTTTGTGGGAACAGTCTGACCACACTCAACACTATCAAGTAAGAGAGACCCCTTCTCAGGACTCCGATGGGAATCCATTTTCATAAGCAGCTGTTTTCCCTGTGGTGTTTTCTACAGGTTATGCTTCACATTCCTTACTCTTCCACGAGTGACTGTTCTGCTCAGTTTTAAATTATTTATAACCAAGAGTCTGAGTAACAAAATAACAGAGAGTCTTATCATTTATTCAGCTTCCAGGTCCTAGGAGATACAACTGGCGGCCACGGGCATCTTCTTCCTGGAGATGAATCTCTACTCTTCCTTCAGAGCTGCATGAGTCCTGAATTAATTCAAGACAAGTACCAGAGGTGGTTTGGGAATGTGAGGGTGTATAAATTTTAGATAATGAAGTTTAAAAAAAATAAACAAAATTGAATGTTACTCCCACTATTACATTTTCTAATTCCTGCTGAGTAAAGACAGTTTAAAGAGACAACTTAAAAGCTGCCATTAAAAAAAAGTGTTTATACATTTTATAGGTATATTTTTTGAGAGAAGTGGGAAAACAAGTCATCATGTCCTGAATATCTTCTGTGTTAACGTGCTCATAAAGGCCTGGCCCTGACCTAGCTGTTGAGCCCTGCTGAGTTTGGGTTTATGATTGTCTTCGCCTTATCGTTATAGAACCAGGGTTATGCTTAAATATGGAAATGATTTCATAGATCATGGGGTTATTTTGTTCATAGATTATATCTTTATATTTCATTCTGATTCTATTGCAACATAAAACATTTATCTGTAATTGTCAATTCTTCCAATTCTGCAAGAGAATGGAATGTCAAAGAATGGAATCTTCAGAAGAAGAAATGAGCTGGAGAAGCCATGAACATTTTTTTAAAGGTTCATATGTATTGTTCATAAGAAAGATGAACTGTCTTGCTGTAACAGTACATGTACCCACTAAGTAACATATAAATGGGTTAACACCCTTGTGGTTGTGTGGTTTCTTTATCATTAGTAATTGTGACTCTTTTCCTACTTCACCTGGGACATTTGCTTCTTTCTCGTTTTACAAAATCATTGTGATGCATCTTCCCTGGGTTCCAAACGTTACCTCTTGTCACTCATGTGTACAGGCCGCCTTGACCTGCACGCACATGACTGTCAAAAGCAGTGCTTCTCAACCTGTGGATCACAGCCCCTTCATAGGGGTCCAATATCAGATATCCTGCACATCAGATATTTACATTATGATTCAAAACAGTAGCAAAGTTATGAAGTAGCAATGGAAATAATTCTATGCTTGGGGGTCACCACAACATGAGGAACCGTATTAAAAGGTCACAGCATAAGGAAGGTTGAGAACCACTGGTCATTGTATCTGATGATTTCAAAAGACATCTCATAGTCAATAGGGAACAGCTGTTGCTTTCTGCTGCCTTTTCCTTTGCTGGGTTCTGGCCCAGCGTTCAAACCCTCACCTTCAGCAGGCTGTGAGGTGAAAGTGATAGGCAAGCTGTATCCTGAGTACATTTTGGAAATGATAAATTTTTTTTTGAGACAGGATTTCTCTGTGTAGCCTTGGCTATCCTGGACTGGCTTTGTAGACCAGGCTGGCCTCGAACTCACAGAGATCCACTTGCCTCTGCCTCCCCAAATGCTGGGATTACAGCTGATCGAGTCATACTCAGGTTAAAGTCAACCATTAAAATGTAAGCCATTTCCCCTTTACATTGCCAACGAGAGACAGGAAGGTGCTGAACACACTCAGGTCCTGGCGCTGTCAAGGTGCCTTTCTGTGGAGAGCGAAGAGCCCTGTGGTACCCATCACCACTGCGTCGCTTACTTTTCCGTCTCTGGAAAAACAAAAAAAAACCAAAACAACAACAACAACAACAACAACAAAAAACAAAAACAAAACAAAACAAAAAAACATGCCCTGAGAGAACAACCTGAAAGATTCGTTTGTGCCACAGTTTCAAAGGCCTCTGAGCTCGCTCCCCTGCTCTCTTGGGAGCGTTGAGCAGAGGGGACATTCTTTACCTCATAAGCATGGGAAGCAGATGGGTGGGAAGGGGCCAGGTGAACAAGCCCCCAGGAGATTTTCTTCCTCCTCAGCTAGGCTTCAGTCTCTCTATGTGCTTCTGCCTCCCCAAATAGTGCTGGGGCATTCCAGCCAGAGGGCAACCATAGCCCAAACCCAGGGAAGCAAGGTGGCCAGTCAGCTGAGGCCAGTGAACTCATGCGTAGCTGTCTGTGTGCTCCACTCTTCACACAGTGGCCTCTGGGTCATCTGTACAGAGACTCCAGCTGTCACACATTGCCTGGCCCTCCGTGACATCCTCCTTCTTGCATGTTTCATGCCAGCATCACCGGAACATCAAGTTCTGGGGACTGTCCCTTGTCTGCTTCAGATGCTGCCCATAGCAGGATCCTTCCGGGCAAGGTGTGATCCTGCCATCGCAGAACCTCCAATGTGCCCACTGCAGCCTCTCTGGAAAGGAGGCCTGTTGTCGGACCGGTGTGGACTCTTTCTGGGAGACAGGCTCCCCCTGCAGCTGACACCTAGGCTCCCAGCCTTTTCCTTCTCTCAGCCTGAGACTTGGGGTGGGGTGGGGAAGAGGGTTTTCCAGTTTCTTGGGGTCTACCGTTTGAAAAGTCTGATGGCCAGAGGAAGGGACACAAGCCTCTCTTTAGAAAAACCTTCTTTCCAGCCTCGCCGCCTGCAGCCACCTACGCCCACCCCCGTTGCCCTCTGCCCCTTGGCTGAAACTGGCATGAAACCTGAGAAAAGGAGGATGTCACAGAGGGCCAGGCAATGTGTGACACAGCTGGAGCCCCTGACTCAGAGGCCACTGTGGGAAGAGTTGAGCACACAGATGGCTACGCATGAGTTCACTGGCCTCAGCTGACCGGTCAGCCTTTGTTTTTAGTACAAAGTTCGGTCCCTCTGCCCTGTTGTAGTAGAGAAATAGCTTTCTCCCTGTTAGAACAGCCTGGAATAAAGACCTGGCATTTTAACAGCTTGACACATCAAACAGGTGCCTTGGTGCCTAAGGCACTGGGCTGGCCTTGGCTTTGTCGTTCAAGATACGGTGACATTTGGAAGTGACAAGCAGCAGAGTCTGCCTCAAAGTGCCAGGGACCGGCAGAGAAAAGAGCCTGGTGGTTTAAGTACCAGTCCAAGGTCTGTGCACTTGAGGGTAGCTCTGAGGCCTAGGCAAGGAGAAGCGAGATCCTGGCTCAGCCCTGTAGATCCTCAGAGCCTCCTCCGGATCTTTTCAGGTCAGATCACAGCTGGCTGGAAGCTCCTTGACCCTGACCGCTGCCAAACTGCTCCTCCACACAGTCCCCAGAAGGGCGGCTGCCTGCAGCTTGGTTTCTAGTTTCAAAATCACACCCTGTTCTGCAAATGTTGTGTGTTTTAGGTCAAACAACCCTACAAACATGTAAATAAGCTACACTCCTGCACTGATTGATCGTGGGGGAGGGTCAGCGAGTGAGTGAAGGAAAGAAGGAGGGAAGAAAGAAAGGAGGGAGGGAGTAAGGGAAGGAGGTGGGGACTACTGAGTGAGAACCCCATAGCTGAGCCACCGCCTCCCGCCCCTTGGATTGGCGGGGAAGGATCAGGAGCTGCTGGCCTTTGGGCTCAGGTCCCGTCAGGCCGCTGGCTACAGTCGCGCCTGGTCCCTCGGGCTCCTGAGGTGTATCAGCACCCACTCTGCCCGCTCAGGCCATGGGTGCCTCAGGCTCCTGGGCGCTGACCCTCCTCGCCTTCTCCGCGTCCCAGGTCCCCGCGCGGCCGCGGCACATCTGGCTCGGTGTCGCCGCGCTGGGCCTGGCCGCGGTGGGGCTGGGGACTGTGGCCTGGCGGCGGCGGCGCGGGCCGCTGCAGCAGGTGGGGACGGTGGCCCAGCTCTGGATCTACCCGGTCAAGTCCTGCAAGGGAGTGTCGGTGAGCGAGGCGGAGTGTACTGCCATGGGGCTGCGCTGCGGCCACCTGCGCGACAGGTACGCGGAGCCCAGCGCTGCGCTTCGCTGACCCAGGCTGGGTGGGTGCGGGAGGTCAGCGGGGACTCACAGGTCCCATCCTTCCTACCCAAGAGACCCAGGAGCTGGGGAAAAGGGACCCTCGCCCTTCATCTGCTAGCTGGGGGGTGGGGGTGGGGCTGGAACTCTGACCTCTCCCGGTTTCCCCAGCTTTCTGGAGATGGACCTCTCTCTGTCCATTCTCCCCTAGCTATTTCAGATCTTGCGCTGCAAGATCTTGGAGGCATCCCCCACGCTGCCGGCCAATCTGCAAGCAGAAACTTCAATATCCCTCCACTTTGGGACCTGGAAGGGATTGGCCCCTGGTCACTTTACTTGAACTTAAGAGAAATTAAGACAGCGGATCCCAAAGCGCAGGGGGCATCTGGAGAGGCACGGCTCATTTTTACCACAGAAGTTGAACACTTCCTTGCAACTTAAAAAAAAAAAAAAAAAATCTTCGAGTGTTAGTTTCCCAAGGTTCAGATAAAGGTTCAGGGCGCGGCTGAACCTGGGGTTTGTAAACAGCGATTAAGGGTAGGCTGAGGAGTGACTGAGGAGTGGTGTGGACTCCTGGGAAGGGCCAGCAACTCTGCCCTCCCACCAGACCCGAGGACCTTGTGTGGACCTTGTGTGCTCGCCCCTCATCACCTTGTGCTTTGCAATTCTTGATGTCTGAGGAACCATAGACCATTAGAGGCTGGTGGTGGCTGAGTCGAAGCTGTCTGGCTGATTGCCAGACTCCCTGTTCTCTTCCCCATCACTTGAAAACACATGAATGCTCCTTTCACCAAGACACAGTAGTTCCGGAAAGTTCAAAGGTCAGCTGCTCACCTCTTCTTCAGTCAGTCAAGAACCTTTGCTCTTCTCTGCTTTGTGCAGTGGGCCTCACATATAGTAGCTATTGGCTTTAGATAGTTTCTATCAGCCTCATGGGTAAAGGGCATTGACCCGATTCAGAAAACATGTTCTGAATTTGCACCTCAGCTGTGGTGACAAATTCTTCACGTTTGTCACAAGCTCCCAGGGACTGTAAGCAAAACAAACAAATAAATAAACAACAACAATAACAAATTCAAACAAACAAACAAAAATGAACAACTGCCTTCCTGGGGTGACAAGTACTGTCACAAGTACCAGGGAACAGAGAGGAAGGGTCCTGGAGGCTGTCTGGGGAGCACTAGGGAGGCCTTAGAAAAGGAAGTCAACAGCTTACACTGAAAGCTTGAAAATGGTCAGGCACTTCCAGTCAAGTAAGTTGGAGAACATTCTAGAGCGCTGAGCTAAGACGCTGAGCTTAACGGCTCGCACGTGCTGGTGTGTTTCCCAGAAGGAGCCGAAAACGGAACAGGGCCTTGAGTATAAGGAACACTCTCACAACATCGAAACTTGACTGTGCACAGCAGCAAGGAAGAAGAGGAAATGGCCCAAAAGTCCATAAATGGATGAGGAGATTAAGTCAAACATGGTTTGTACAGACGGTGAAATAGCAACCAGACCTGAAGAAAGTGGCGTTCCGTTGCGTTTGATGACGTAGATGGGCAATGAAAACGCAGTGCCAGTTTAAATGAGCCGGGCAGAGAGACATGAGTCCGGTTCCAACTGCTTGACTCCAAATTCATAGACAAAAAGTGGAGAGGAGGTTCTGGGGCGGGAGGGAGTGGGCGTGGCGAGTTATTGCTTCATGGGCACAGATTTTCTGTTTGGAACGATGACAAGTTTTGGACACGGCGGTGAAGGTTGCACAACACAGAGTGCACTCACCGCCATGACTCCCATTCTTTGTGTGGCTTATGCTGGGTGTCTGGGCTGGGCCTTTCCAGAATTCTTGGCCTCTTCTCCAGAAAACTGGAAATCAGGGCTCGCACAGGCTCACCAAAGAAGCTGCTAACTTTATTTGAATCTGAGCAACAGAATAAGGTCTACACTCTAGAATCAAGACTGACAAGAGGCCACGTGAGT